GGTGGACAGAGTCAAATTTAACCTCCCTTTATGACCCCAAGTTTAAAAAAAGAAAAAAAAGATGCATCCCTGATAAAGGTTAAACTATCAGCTGTGTTACTTCTCTGCTCAGGATAAACTAAACAAAGAGGCATGAGAGTATCCATGTCACACTCTCCTTCTTCATTCACTATGAGCTCCATTCTTTTCAGCTACAGGGGTTTGAGATTTACAAGAGTCCTGATTTCTAACTAGCCCGGAGAACAGGATTCTTGTCAGTTCCAAACCCCTGCTGGTTTACAAAAATAGAAGTGGCAAGAAGAATGGATGGATAGTGTGATTAACATGTATGCATAGCCATTCAGATGTAAAGCCACAATTGTTATACTCCTGCAAACCTTGTTTTAGAGGGCAAGCAATGAAACATCTATAAAGACTGTTTTATCAAAAAATCCAAAATTACTATAAGAATATATAAAGATGTGCTATATGGATACAGAAGAATAGAAAAGTAGGACAGAACATTCAGAAGTTAAAGTAAAGGTGCCCAATTGGACATACTGTAACAGGACCAATTTCTAAAGAAGACTGTTTACTCAGCATTTGCTGAAAAATCAGACCCCTATCAGGTATCTAAAGTTAAACACCCAAAAAGCAGAGCATTTGGAATCATGTCTCTTTAGATATTTTCTCTCTTCAGATACTGTAAATGGCTTTACAAATGAATAGATTGTATTACAACACACTCAAACAGATAAAACCTAGCTTCTGATGATACTTGGATATGAAAAAAATGTCAATACTTAAACTATAGCTTCTGCATTATTAAATCTGAATTAAGATAGCATCTGCACTGCACTGTCCCCACTCATAAATCAATTCTCCATGGATAAAGCTATAACCAGGTCGCACTTTGAGTTCTGCTTTTAGCTCTCCTATAACTTCATCTAAAAACCTGATATTGGCTTGAAAAATCTCCAAATTTCTTCTGAAGTCAAAGAATTGTCATCTTGCTATCATAATTTCTTGAGTCAATTTTTAATAAGCAGTGTAACTGTCATATAAAGTAAAATTTAATGATCTTTCTTGCTTTCTAAACCAAGGTTAGCTTATGTACTATTTCCTACTTTCAAACCACAGAAAACAAATTTTGTATAGTACGTAATGTAACCAGAAAAGATCATTTAAAAACTGAATTCTCATGGTCAAAATTCATCAGGAAACATTATGCCAAGAGTACCATTGCTTGCACTTTTTAAAAATAGGAACATGCATTTAACTCTATACACACATACACACTACATATAAATTTCTTGTTTCTAAATTGTTTTCTGTTTTCTAGGGATCACACACAACTGTTTTAGTAAAAAGGCATTAAAAATATTAACAGCTGCTTAAATAACCAAATTAATTAATGTTTTGTTCTTTAAACACAACTGCTTGAAGGAATGGAGGATGGGGCAGGAGACCAGAGAAGTGAAGGAGGAATTCAGAGTGTTGAAGGTTGCAGGGACAGGTCTGACTGGGAAAGTGTGAGAAAGCAGGGTAGATATGCACCTTTATAGACCAAGGGACCACAAGCTTTTGTGAACCCAAGTTCACTTCATCAGATGGAAAGAGAATGAAACAAAAAGTATTAAGACAGGAATGAACAGAAGAGGAGCAAGGGACAAGCATATCCAGAACGGAGTCAACAATATTGGTAAATACACAGGAAGGAGGTAGACAGGGCATGAAACAGGCAAAGACAGGAAAAAACCAGACATTAAAGGGAATCATGGAGAACCTGAGTATAGCATGGAGGCAGTTATTATCAGATAACAATGAGTGAGGGATATCAAGGACTGGGGCAAAGTATAAAGTGGGCAGGTTACAGGAAAAGCCTACTTTCAACCTTAATTCTTTTTTAATGGGGGGGGTGAGGAGGAGGGTTGTTTGTTTTTATTTGGACCCCTGGCTAGAAGATGTACAGTAAAGTTTGAAAAATTCTCCTTTTTCGTAGTCAGGTGTTTTGGGTTTTTTTGGTTCTAGTATCTGTTTCATTGATGTTTTTTTCTTTCATCACTTTGAGGGATTCTTTGAACTACAGCCCTGATCCCACAACTTATGCACAGACCAGTCAGTTTTGATGGGCTTTGCTCAGGCATGGTATTCTACGCCCTCCCTCTCAAATGCAGTAGCAGAGCTGTAAATTATTTAGCATATTAAACTTGAATATGATTTCATCCTCAAATGAAATCTTATCAAACCATTCTATTAACACATCCCAGAGAAAATAGATGGTAAGGGAAGCAAAATAAATTATGCTTTCTATATTTTAAACGAATTGCCTTTGTTGCTATGATTATTAATATACAGGATATAAATTAAGATTTAACTAGAAACAATGTAATAGTTAAGAAAGCCGAGATAAACAAGTCATGTCACCAGTGGACAAAACTCTTGATCATAGTCTAATTATAAGTGAATTTGACAGCAGCAGTGAGAGAGAGAGAAATTACTTTAAACTAATTTCAAACATAAAAAATTAGATAAAACATCTAAAGCATCCTAAAATATCTGTAGCTTCCACTGTGCTAACATAATTTCCCCATTCCCTCAACGTTCTGCAAATTTGCATCACGGTTGCAATTAATGTATGCTAAGTACCTATACTACTAATCTGCATAATTATTTCCAAAGGTATTTATGTACAACCAGAGGTAGAAGGGGGGGGGGGAGGAGTACAGTGTGCACTGAAGTATTTGCATCCCCTCTGATTCCTGCTCCACCTGAAGTTTAAAACTAACTGCCTGGCAGCCACAGCAGCGTTTCTAGTCAGGCACTGTGAGGAAGTCAATGGACTTCATGCCTCATAATCTATCTGATTCCTTCCTTTTAAATGCTTCATTCCACAGGTGTTAATGACCCTTTCTTCTTTTTAAGAGTCTTGATGTTCCACCCATCAAGCTAGCCTTTCTTCTGCAATTCTGCTGTCTGTTAGCTGTTCCCGGTCATAAAGCTCCTATTTGACAGCCCTGCGGATTGCTTTTAGAATCATAAGAAGTCAGGGATGGAAGGGACCTCAGGAGGTCATCTAGTCCTACCCCTTTCTCAAAGCAGGATTGTCCCCATCTAGATCATCCCACCCAAGGCTTTGTCTAGCCAGGTCTTAAAAGGCTCCAAGGATGGCAATTCTACCACCTCTTTGGGTAGCCTGTTCCAGTGCTTTACTACCCTCATAGTGAAAAAATTCTTCCTAATAACTAACCTAAACTGTCCTTGTTCCCTTCCATTGCTCCTTGTTCTGTCATCTGCCACCATTGAGAACAGTCTAGCTCCATCCTCTTTGAAACACTGCTTCAGGTAGCTGCAATTAAATCCCCTCCCAGTCTTCTCTTCTCCAGATTAAATAAGCCCAGTTCCCTCAGCCTCTCCTCAGAAGTCGTGTGTCCCAAGCCACTAACCATTTTTGCTGCCCTTCGCTGGACTCTCTCCAATCTGTCCACATCTTTTCTGTAGTGGGGGGCAACACTAGATACAGTACTCCAGGTGTGGCCTGAATAGAGGGGAAGAATGACTTCCCTGGATTTGCTGGCAGTGTTCCTAATGCAGCCCAGTATGCTGTTAGCCTTCTTCACAACAGGGGCACGCTGTTGGCTCATATTCAGCTTATTGTCTCATGAGCTTTTAACTCATTCCAGTGACGTTATTTTAGTTTTTGCTTCAATCTCAAACTGAATAATACAGGCCTAGACCCCCCAGCCTATTAATAAAGCTTTTATTTTTATGTGGAAAAAAATATGGTCTGTTTTATATGTGCTGACACACCTCAGTATCTGCACCAGCCTGTTCTAAATCCTACATCTGTCCACGTGCCTGACACATTTTTCATTCACTGTAATCATCAGGAGCCATGAGTTTGTGTGAAAGAGTCTACTTGAAGGCAGGGCAGGGCAGCACCTCGCAGGCAAACTCATTCAGAAACGCAGAAGGGTTCGTAAGCAATGGCTGGCTTCACATAATGAAGCTGGTATCTGGTCACAAACTTAAGCTCAGTTAACTTATGAGAGGCTGAGTCACGAATGCTTATGCATTTCTAAACGAGTCTGTCCCCAAGGCGCTACCCAGCCCCACCTTCACACTAACAGGTCTTGCCCCTCTCCGATGAAACTGCGCACCTCAAGCAAGCTGAGGGCAGACCTACACCTTGAGAAGTAGAGATAATACAGGTGAGCAAGGGACAGACCCTGCCCTCGCACAGGCATGCGTGGGTCCCAGTGTGACCATCAGCCTTGCATGCCTTAGCCCAGCCCAGACGCTGCAAAGATTGGGCTCCTGGGCCCCCCATGGCTGGAGGCAGCCACATGAGCTGATGTGGCCCAAGCACCTCATGCTGATGCTGCTCCACTGTTGCCAGGTGTACAACAATTATCATATTTGTATGATATCTTCAACCCTTGTGCAACATACAGTCAGTAACAGTGAAAGTGTTCAAGATGTACCATAAATGCAAAGCAGCTAATTGATGCAGCATATGCAAAACCCAAGCCACTCTCAGGCAGTCTTAACCAACTTTTGGGCTTGATGTCAGCACTTTCTTGTGACAGCTTGCCTCAAAATAAAGAAAAGCTTTCACTTGAACGAGCCAGGCCTTACTCACTCACTGGTGGGTTACAGCAAGCAGCATAAAGACCACAGAGACTTTCTGGCGTACTGATTTGTGTGTTTTTTCCGTGTAAGATAGTTTTTCAGCAAATACGATCACTTTGAGCTTCCAGCTCGAGAATTTTATATTTAAGAGGTCGTAGCACTGCGCCCCCGCCAAGGGCTCTTGGTTGGGCCCAGATAAGCCTCGGCGCCAACAGGCACTGGGCCGGGGACGAGAGGCCGCGCGGAGGCAGGTCCCGGCGACGCCGCTGCAGGGAGAGAGGGCAGATGAGGCCGAGGGGTTTCCCTGTTTTCGCCCGGGCGCTACAGACTAGGCAACGCCCAGAGCACAGCCAGGGACGCAGGGCCCAACTGCCCGCCCGCCGCATTACCTGTGACCGCAGGAAGTATCCCTTGCCCGGGTACCTTAGCCCTGAGCCGGCAGCACCTTCCCTCAGCGGCCCGGCTCGGCCCGCCCCTTCCTGCGGGCGGAGTGACGCCGCGGCCGCCATGTTTGTTAAGGGAAAGACTGCAGACTAGGCAGGGGGCAGCTCCCCAGCACCTGCGCTGGGGCGGCAGGAGCGGGGAGTCTTTCCTGCCTGGAGAGGGGCCACGAGGCCGGGCAAGGTAGCAGAGAGCAGTTTCCCTGAGGAGAGGCAGGAAGTCTGGCCCTGCCACACTGAAGACCGGAAAAACCGCAATTCTATTCCAGGCAGTGGAGCCAAGATGGCGGCTGCTAGTTCCCCGCCCCTTGTCATGGCTTTTCCGCGCTGGACTGCGTCTCCCAGCATGCCCCGCTCCCGGCCCGAGAAAGACTGCAACTCCCTGGGTGCACTGGGCAACCCCGCCCTCGGCTGCCTTCGCGAGACTACAAGTGCCGGCGGGCAGCGCGGTGCGGGCTGTGACATGGGGCGGGGGAGCGGCGCGGACTCGGGGGGGCTGGGGGCTGGTAAATAGTGGCACGGAGCGACCTCTCTGTGTAAGATGGCGGCGGCAGGGGCGGCGCTCTGAGCGGCGGCAGCGACACCGGTGCTTGCTGCGGGCTGGGGCCGCACGGCGCGGAGGCGGGA